TGTTCATGCATACGGTGTGTAGTTCGCTTGGCAGTTTCGTTAATCATTGTTTTTATGTCTAAATTGGTCGAAACCGAGGATTGTACAAATATTGTATAGTTCCAGGCCGCAAAAGTACCTCAGGATCGACTCCGAATAAAATATTTATTTCATTACCGAAAAATGAAAAGTTTGTGTGATGTTATCCACAGTTTCTCCATCGACGGTATGCAACTCAAAACCAACTTGGTTTTTCTTTGGTTGCACGTCTAGGGGGTTGTAAAATATTATTATTTGAACATTTAGAGCGCAATTTTCAACTTTATGCCGGAAAAAAATTTTACCCCATCTAAATGTTCGTGTTCACAAAAAATTCGAAATACGTCGGCGAGAGGGACCTATAAGTAATTCAGAACCACCCTCGTTTTTCTTTGGTTGCCCGTCTAGGGGGTTATAAATATTATTTGAACATTTAGAGCAGAATTTTCAAATTTATGCCGAAAAAAAAAATTCTACCCCATCTAAACTTTCCCGTCCACAAAAATTTCGAAATACGTGGCGAAAGGGACCTATAAGCAATTTATTTAAATAATAATATTTTACAACCCCCTAGACGGGCAACCAAAGAAAAACGAGGGTGGTTCTGAGTTGCTTCAAATACTAGACAAGAACCGAGTCTAGTACGTTGGGTACATTTGTACAAAAATGGAACGCAACAGAAAATGTAGAAAAGCGAACCATTTACGTCATTGAGAAAAATCCGAAAATGTATTTAGGTATTTCAAGTCATTCTATGTTTATAATAAATAAATGCATTTCAACAAGACTTGAGGTATATCTCTTATACAGTCTCTATTTATACACTTAAAAATATAGGTATCTAATATAGGTAAAAGTATAGCAAATATCTACACATCTCTCCCACTGCTCGCGACATGATTGCTGAGTGGCCGGTATCGTGACGTCATTACCTGTTCTCCTGCAGTGTTGACTTACTTTTTTTAAGATGTATTTAGGTGGTTAAATACTATCAGAAAATTAAAGAAAAAGTTTAAAATTATATATCACTGAATGGGTCTATTCTGCCCAATATTATTCTAGTACCTAAAAGAGTATTTTAATTAATAAAGAATGCAAATCGATTTAAAGTTACTTCTAGTACAACTTGGTAAAAACAAAAAATTTATTGGATAAAAATCAAACGAGAAAAAATTTTTAAAATGAGCTGATCAAAATTTTACTGATTTTGGGACAATCTTGATCACATTTGGATTTTGTTAAATTTTGCCTGTTTCTCAAGCGTGTCATAAATGAAGCTCCAGATATAGGATATTTTGATAAAAAAATATTAACATGCTACCTTCATTTGTGCATAGAAACAATTATTTCATCAAATATCTCCAATTTAGTGAAACAATACACTTTATTTGTATTGTCTTTCCGAAGTCAGTAGAACATGATTGTATAAAAAAAAACGAGCAATCAAATTTAATGAGTCATAGGCATCCCGAAAAAAGTTTTCTGCTAAAGGTAAAAATTTATAATAATTTGTATATAATGTGTAGAAAATTTCTATTGTATGTTCATTTGACCAACAACATATTTTAATTATTTATATTCTCAAACAATTCTATTATATTGATAGTAAATTTTGTTTTGTTCCGCATTGCTGCAGTGCACTGTCAGGCGACTTGTCGATAACTGAAATTTATGACGCAGTCGACCAGGGCAACAGTGAGTATTGCTGTTTGCCCACACACTCATTCTTCAACTGGGCGTATACATTTCTACCGCCTCCACCACACCTGTATATGGGTATGGCTAAATAAATATGGGAACAAGTTTTTCAAATATTCCAATGCCGAGTTTCTGCGTCAACGACCGAACCTGGAACATACTGTCATCCTGTTGGTTCTTCAATTGATATCGGAAAGACTATAAAATACTTGGTATTATCTGACAAATATATAAATAAAAAAAATATTATCCATATAAAAACAAAAACAAGAAAATATACTAAGTACAAAACAAGAAATATTCTCTAAAAATATATCGTAAACATTTTAAAAACAGTAGCTTTAGAAATTCTTAAATACATATTTTCTTCTTTTAATAAAACTGGTTTTATCACAGCTTCTATCTGAGATTTATGAATTGTACTTTCATCGAGAATATCAGGAAAAACAAAATAAAATATCCCAGTCTTTCTTCTCATAAATCAATCTTACGATTAATTCGTCGTCGGTATCACATTCAGTTATCACATTAGCTTCAAAATTATTGAGGGATGATGAACTCTCCACCTTCATGTTGACCAGAACATAATCTCCAACATTTATTTTAAGGTCATGGTTGGGAGTATAAGCAGTAGTGTCTGTATCACTATCGAGATGAAGATAGTTGCCCTCCTCGCTTTCATCATGATTTTCCTCATCATCAATGACTTCTCTGTACTATCATTTTCCTTGGCCTATCATCATATCTTTGGGATTTTAAATAATCTACTAGGGTTGCATTAATAGTTTCTGCCCTTATCATTGGTTCGTGTCCAGGGATTTTACATAGTACCCTTTCAGGATCAAAAGGGACAACACCGGTTGCAGAAAAACCAGTAATTAAGTTTTTGCTGATGGCTCCTGGCTCATTTTCTGAGTCAGGTTTATCCATAGCACATATAATGATTCCTAAAGCACCCTAGGAAAGTCTCCTTTTGGTAACGATGCTATGCGAGGATTTTTCTTCTTCCACTTTAAAAGCACTGGATTTAAAGGCTGAGTCAAGTGTGTCGAGTGAGGGACTAGGCATACAAAAGCTATGTTGTTCTCCTCACATAATTTCAGAACATCATCTGTAAAATGTGCAGCTAAGTTGTCGCCAATTAATACTTTCTTGCCCTCCAACACCGTTGTATGAGGTATAAATTAATTCTTAAACCAATCTCGGAATGTTAATGATTCCATCCAGCCATGATGTGTACGGTTATAACTTACTCCTGCAGAGCAACATTTTTCCGTGCAGGAAGGAAAACCTTTAGGACCATTTGCTGTCCAAGTGTTCCACATTCTGTCGGCTCGGTAAATAATATATGGGGGTAATTATACCCCTAAAGCAGAACCACACATACTGTAGTAGCTAATTTGCTAAAATTGCATACCTGCTCCGGGTATTTTACTCCTCGCCGATAAATTTTGAAACTCTTGCCGGGGTCGTTCGCAAAGTTTGTCTCCTCATAATTGAAAATATTTCGGCCGGTCTTTAATTGTTTTCTCAAGAGTGTTAAAATATCCTTTCAGGTTTTCTTCGCCAACTGCTGCTCTAGCACGCTTATTATTTGCGGCTACTCTTTTAACAACTTCGAATTTGTGCCTGATTAGCAAGTTATTTACAAAATCAATCTCCGGCTTATTGTCCTTTAATCATGGAACAATCTTTTCTTGTTGATCCAGATAGTTTTTGGTCAACTGTTGCAGGTCGGCTTTGGTTAAAGGGAATCCCCAATCGCCACATACTGCCGCTGACTTCACCATCTTTAATTCTTCTTTATGTGTGAAAAGGGTTAGGCGACCTACCGTTCTTATATGGAGTCCTTTATAACGATTGTAAAGTGTACCAAAAAAGTTGGTACCTACTATACGACGTAATAAGTTATTGCTCATGGGGTAACTTTGATCATGCGATCAAAATTGCCCGAAAATTGTACTCAAAGATACCCCGCGAAGCTTTGGTAGTTTTACCGAATTGTTTTAGAATCGCAATGTAACAACCAATTTGTACAACAGATAGGTTAGGTACCTTAATGACTTTCAAATGAAAAGCACCAAAATTGCGTTTGCCCTTTTGGATATAGGTACATGAAATTTTAGAGTGTTTATTTACGATAATTACACAATTTTAATATATCTTACCTTTTTTCTCCCTTACAACTGGGTGCACAGACAGCAACTGAAGCATATTCTATAAACCTACTCCTTCGACTACATGTAGTACTGGTTGCCGAATCAATAACATTGACCGTGTTATTGGAAATGGAATTTTAGATATTGAAGTATAATAGTCTTTCCGAAGTCAGTTGAACATGCAAAAAAACGACTGGCAATAAAATTTAATAAGTTTCATAGGCGTCCCTAAAAAAGTTTTCTGATAAAAAATTATAATAATTTGTATTATATATGCGGCAATAGTTATTGCCCTTATCCTCTTAAGTGTCTTTCTGCACTCACTATTGGCTGGAGTGGTATAGTTCTTCCGAAGTCAGTTGAACATGCATAAAAACCGAGCAATCGAATTTAATGAGTTTCACGGGCGTCCCTAAAAAAGTTTTCTGCTAAAGGTAGAAAATTATATTAATTTGTATATAATGTGTAGAAAATTTCTATTGTTATGTTCATTTGGCCAACAACATATTTTAATTAATTATGTCCTCAAACAATTTTATTATATTGGTGATAAATTTCGTGTTGTTCTGTTTCAAAAGGTCTCAAAATGCCATATTGTGATAATATTAGTAAACAAAATATCACTCTTATTTCTCCCTTTTGCAATTGTATTATGAATGATTGATAGGTGCCTATAATAAATTAAAATTACCTGAATCATACCAAATTCCGCATTGTGGCACTGCACTACTGGGCAATTTATCAACCACTTGTCAACTGCTGAGATTTATTGCCTGTGTTCGTTTTCCTTTGCCCGCGCTATCATTCTTCAACTGAGCGTATACATTTCTACCACCTCCACGTTTAATTTGACCAGACCTGTATATGGGTATGGCTAAATAAACATGGGCACAAGTTTTTCAAATATTTCAATGCCGACTTGCTGCGTCAGCGACCGAACCTGGTACATATACTGTCAATCTGTTGGTTCTTCAATTGATATCGGAAAGACTATACCAATGATCAAAATTACACCTCTTTTTTATGTCATAAGTAACCGTAAATATACTTTAATAATTTTGACTTAAAACGTTTTATACCGTGCCAATTATTATAGCATAAAGTCAAAACAAGTAGTTAGTACATATTATAAAATATTTATTTTAAATTCGAAAACACTGGTGATTTCTATTTTCAACAATAGCAAAACTAATGTATTAGAGGGAGCTATTACTAGTACACTGTATTATTTATTGTCATTTACATTATCATATTGACTTAATGTATCCGATGGGTTAGTAATTTTATTTGGAATATTTTGAAAAGCTATCTTTTCACTGGTCTGTGTAAAAGGAATCATATTAAAATTTTCGTATTGTTTGAAATCCAGGGGATGCATTACAAGTACTGGATTTTCATCTTCTATAATGATGCAATCGCAATCCACTTCATCACATTTAGGACATTTTTCCACCAAATCTGATTTTATTGAATTTTTTAATTTCTGAAACAATAAAATTGAAATTACAGGATGTCTAGCTGAAATCGAATTAATCATTCAACATAAATGAAGCAACAAAATTCGAGCAGATAGAACTGAAGGAATAAACAGGGACTATAACATACACAAATTTTTCTTCAAAATATTTGTTAATTAGACTAAATCTATAAGTCCATAATTTTGCCTGCTTTCTCGTTTCTTCAAAAAAGAAACAATTTTCAATTTCTTTAATACAGGGTTGTAGGCAATTTACTTGATTCTTTGAATCTTAAACTTCAAATAATACGAAGGCGAAATGAACATTACCATGAGTTACTTTAATTGCCTAAATTTCATTGTTGTCATGGTAACGACTTAGAAGAGTTAAAATTGGGGTTTGTTTTTCAAACTTCTTTCTTTGGAAAATTTTTTTTATGAAGTACTACAACTATTTTGACCTCCTCTGTATATCCTTTCATTTCTGATATGGCCTTTCCGGATACCCTGTATATTGGTAGGATAAAATACAAGATTCTGGTTTTCTGATTATTTTGCACTAACATTCGTTATTTGATCTTAGGAAGTAGACCCCTCATAGGGCTGGGTATGGATTTAATTTGCATATATTTTTTTCCAATGCTAAAAATATTATTTTAAAACGTTTTCTCGAAGTATTTATAAATTGATAGGATTTATTTGAATTAGTTTACTTAATACCTTAATAAAGAGTAAAAAGATGTGAGAGCTAATAACAAAATACCTGTATGTATTTATGAAATACCCATTTACAAATTGTTTCTTTTCATTATATAACTTTACTTTTATCCTCACTATTTCACCCTAGTATAGGGGATATTTTAGTGTTGTACAAAAAAATGTCCTGCTAAATCGGTTTTTGGGCTGTAGATTCGGATTCAGCATAAAAAAATACAGAAGATCTATGTACTCATGTCTGTGGTACAGAATTTTTGTTGTGGAGCTGTGTTATTATTGAAAACTTATGAAGGGCGTCTAGAATGAACTATGTAACAAATTTTTAGTTAACAATTTTTTTTTACACTTGACTACGCATTAATGAAGCATTTTAGAGAAAATGTTTTATGAATATATTTCAAATTTTTCATGAGTTGTTTCTGCCTTGAAGTCTGTTGGCTCATTTGTGATATATCCTAATGCACAAGGTGATTCATTAATTTTAACCACGTATTCGGAAGGCCTAATAAAGACAGAAAATCGCAAAAACATTACGCGACCTTTTAAAAGATAAGCAAATTACTCCTTAATGCCCGTTAATTCAGCGCCCTACTTCGCATTTTCTGACCAGAAACGCGCCAGCGGATGAACCATGTACATAATAATAAAATAACATTATTTGACACGTTAATCGCATCTTCCGCATTTTCCCCCCGCAAATTTGATCATGTCATACATATGGAAAGAGGATATGAGGAAAAAATAATGCAAAATGCAATACAACCCGCAAACACTAGTTTATTTCAGATTGTTTCGCGTGTCGGTCGTAATGGTTAATTTTGCGAATATGCGGAAATGATGGTTTTATAAGGGGAATGTCTACGAATTGCGAATGCTGCTGCAGCAGAACATCGGAAGCGTTTCCCTAATAGACAAACATTTTTCAAGTGCCCCAACTTTCGCGCGAGTTTTTTAATGTCTGCGATACCGAGTCTTTGATACCGCGACGAGAACTCTTGCAGGGCATCGGCAAAATGACTTGAATGTAATAGAAGCTGTTTTAAATTTAGTTGAGGAGCAACCTACTACTTCGACAAGAACTATTTCAAGGCGATTGGAAAAATATCCCACAACAAGGTCCGGAAAATGTTATGAGAAAACTCCGTATAATTTTCAAAAAGTTTATGCTTTAGAATCGTCTGATCTCCCCAGTCGTCTTAAATTTTCATTGGTTTCAAAATCAAAGTGCATCGGATCCTAACTTTATTAACAAAGTGCTATGGAATCTTGTTTTAGTCCTACTGGTATTTTAACTAGGTGGGTACCATTCCACTCTTTGAAAATCAATAAGTCACTAGGTATATGTATCACAAACTGAATAATTAATTGAACATAATACTAAAAAGTCATATTCAATTACAAAACATTGTGAAAACGTTGACTAGGTCTAGATAAGAAGATCTGTTTACTACTTGCCGTTCACTACACATTAAAAACGCAATAAAAACTAGGTTAGTGACCGAATAATACGGTAGGTTTTAAACTAAAACCGAGCTTTGCAGTCATAACGGTCATATTTGGTTAGACGAAAATCCACACGCTACTCGTCGGTTTAGTTTACAGAGGAGATTTATTGTCAATGTATGAGCAGGAGTGTACGGAGATCGTTTAATTGGACTGCATTTTCTACCGGAACATCTGAATGGATTGCATCACTTTCAGTTTTTAATAGAATTATTTGAAAATATTCCCATTCAGATGCTACGCGATACGTGGTACATGCACGACGATGCTCCTGCCAATTTGCTCGCGTTATACAGGGTGTCCCGTTTATGTTTCAAAAAAAACTTGTGTGCAAGTTCTTCATGGAAAAATAATAGGGGTAGTTCATGTAAAGTTTTTTCTTAGACGCCTGCCCTGTTTTCGAGATACAGTGTGTTGAAGTTGTTACTTTCCAAATGGTTTTCCTTAATTATCTTTAAATCGGCTAAAGATAAAAATGTCAAAATTTGTACAGGAGTAAACATTAACTTTGTGTTAAGAATAATGTGCAAACGGTTTCTTTCTGAAAAGCAGTCTCGTCGAAACAGGTAATTGAAGAGGTACAATCGAAAAAAAATATATGTGAAAAGTCAAAATTTGTTACATTTCTAAACGGTTCTGTAAACTCTAAAGGATACTGTAAAAAAAGGGTATACCTACTTGTCGAAATTCGGTAGCATGTACCATTTTCGAGAAAAATGAAGTTGAATTATTTTGCTCACATAAAGCGGCACAAGTACATTAACAAAGTATTAAATTGAAAGAGGACCTTACTATTGAGTGAACTGAAGACTACCCCCATTATTTTCCCATGAGGAACTCGCACACAAGTTTTTTTGAAACATGAACTGGACACCTTGTACATACAGGGTGATTCACAACTTATCCAAAAAAATTTGGGAATAGATGCGGCATGAGAAATGGAGTCAATATTGTAAAAAATTTTTTGTAAAATCCCTATAGCTTCTGAGAAAAAAATTATTGAAGTTATAGCACATTTAACCACTACATAGCTGGACAACTGTAGTCTCTAGCGTCATTCGCAATACGCGTGGAGAACCATATGACTCCTAATACTGAAATCCGTCGTTGCGGTAGTTTTTACCTGTTATCTGTGGTATTTACATCAGTTTTTTAGTAGTTAGTGTCAAAAATGGCTTGCGTGTATAGAACTCAGAGTTGATGGGTCTCGTTTTAATTTATGGTGAAGCAAGACAACATTTGTATTATGGTGAAGTATTTGTGTTATGGTGAAGCAAGACATCATTTGTGTTAGTTCGTAGAAAGTGAGTAAGACGGACCCAAATGTGTTTACACGTGAGTGGATAAAATTTTGAACAATTGCTGTTGCAGCATCGGGTATGTCAAATGATTTTATTATTTAAAAACACAAATTAATTTTATTAATAATTAATAAAGGCAAAAGCATTTGAATTTGCCGATATAAAATAGGTGTGATAAAATTCTATTTACATATTTCTTTCCTTGCGAAAGTTTTTGTCCGTTTTTATCACGCCGCCATACCGGTCGCATTGTGCGAGGTCAGATTTTACAGTGGACCAGTTTCCAGTGCCGTGCACAAGGGTATTTTTGAATCAATTTCGAACTGACCTTTTTGATTTTTTCTTTACAAAATTGTATTTGTAAGGGTCTCCTGTACATCCAGAATTTTTTTTTGGATAAGTTCTGAATCACCCTGTATATAACACCAAGGTAGAAAAAGTACAGCAGTTGCCTCAATATATCGAAGTTGCCGCCGAACAAATATGTAACAACCCTGGTTTATTCCATCGCATCCGTCACTCATTTATTCAAACTTGTGCATAGAATTAATGGTAACGTAGGTATTTGAACATGAACATTTGCTTTAATTCTGAATCTTGGAAAGAGATATTTCGGCTATGCTATATCTCAGTAACCAGATATGGGACCCAAATGAAACATTAGGGTATACTGATGTACTGTGATTATACTTTTGTAGTAGAGTAGAAAAAGAGTGATTTTGCAATTTGCTGAAAAAGTTATGGGCCTCGCCTAGGAATTTTCAGATTGGCTTCGTTAGTTCTTGTGAAATAGATATTTTTTTCATAAAATAAACTTAAATTTCAAATTAAATGGACAAATGATATTTTCTGTTAAAATTACAGCTCATGCATTATAAAAATTTTAAATGCTATACATTCTACAAATATTTCCTCATCATTCAAATCTTCATCATAAAATTTAAATACCTGGATAAACTTGAATTTGACATTAAAGGGTCAATAAGGCCGGTTTTCGGTCCCCTTCATTTTTGACCAAAAAAAGAAAAATTAATTTTTTTATTATTTATAACCGATAACTAATCGATTCCACCCCAAACGGGACCTCCCCTTTCCTTCCTAGTCAGGATCAAGGTCAATTAGGGGTCAAATTGAGAAAAAGTGCATTAAATCAAAGGATCTCGGAGCTTAGGTCTTTTGAGTCGCTGAATCCGAATCGGAGGTTAGTTTGTCTGTATGAGGCTATTTTAAGGTTGATTCAAGGTCATTTCAAGGTCAAGTCCGACCACATGTTATGCAGGACTTTGGGGTTACTGAGTTCGCATACGAGGTCAGTTTGTGTGTATCAGGTCATTTCAAGGTCAAGTTGAGAAAAACCAAGTAATTAAGTTTAACCGCCTATTATACACGTATTTGGAGTTGCTGAGTTCAAATCTGAGGTCAGTTTGTCTGTGTCAGGTCACTTTAAGGTCGTTTGAAAGTTAATTTATGGAATAAAACCTGGATTCAATTACTGTTCTTACAGTC